TGAGGGAATCTTGGCCCTGAGGCCTTTGGCTTATCAGTCCCAGGTTTGGATTTTCTGTGGCTGCTGTTTGGGACTGGCTAATGATTAATGAGGAAATATGTCCCTTTGGGGTACTCACACCTTTCTGGAGTGTGGAGTCGGTTGCAGAGGGCACTTCTTTGTTTATAAGCCGGCCAGTGACGTGGCCGAAAAATTTCATACGGCACTTCCTGTCAGCTGGTGAAGAGGGCTTGGGACTCTTTAAGAGCCAGGAGGAATTTGTTTTTGAGTTTGTGTAGAGAGAGGACACAGGCCAAGAAGACTTTGGAAATAGAGTGCTTCCTCTGAAGTCCTGATGAGGTCAACTACCTGAGGTAAGAACAACTCGCTGGTTCCTCTCCTGCAAGGTGGACTTGTCTAGTGGGTTGATCTGCAAGGTAGCTGGGCCTCCTCCCACTGATTAATTAGCTCTCCTGACAGGGACACTAGAGCCCTGAGGAGGCCTTCTGCTGGGTGTCCCAGGGAGAGCATTAATATGTCTTTCTCAGCTTCTAGAAAGTTAAAAATTAAAAGAGTCGGCTGCTTTGAGTTTAGAAATTTGGGAAGATATCTAATGGAGGCCGTCTCGGTTACACCATGAGCTGTTTCAGGGACACGTTTATGGCTGAGACTGTGCTAGAATTTCGGGGCTCAGGATTCAGAAGCAGGAAAATTACTAAGACCTGTGTTGTTTATTGGACACTCTTGTCAGTACCTTTTTTTTTTCTCTCCTCAATGCGAAGTCTTTATGGAAAGTAGAATTGCTGTGAAATCTGTGGAAGTTGTAGGACCGCCCACAACCTGTCAGGCAAAGCCAAGGTAGGCCCAATGCCCGGAAAGTCGGGAGGTGAGGGGGCGCAGAGCTGGAGTCTTTGGATTTGTAGGAGAAAAGTTAATGTCTTTTTATTCAGGTGTGGTACTTTTGAGTGAGTCCCTTGCTTGGTTTTTGTTCTAGCTAATTCCCACTAACCCTTGAGAAGCAACTTGGCCTCTGTTCTGCCCGTTTAGCCTTGGGCTTCATGCTGCTGCCTGAGAAGGCACCTTTGGCAAATATCAAACTATTTCCAAAGTGAAAAAAAGGCCAAACCCACGGCTGTCGAGTTGATTCCAACTCATAGTGACCCTAGAGGACAGAGTAGCACTGTCCCATAGGGTTTCCAAGGCTGTAAATCTTTACGGAAGCAGACTGCCACATCTTTCTCCTGTGGAGAGGCAGGTGGGTTTGAAATGCCAACCTTTCTGTTAACAGCCAAGCGCTTCAACCACAGCACCACCAGGGCTTCTTAAACTATTTTTAACAACCCAGAAATAAGGGTTAATTAACTGAGATTATCCGATTTGACAACCGATATGACTAGCTGGGTGGGTCCCCACATATTTTCTGAGGGTTAATATCTGCCTTTTTAGTGTAATAAGAAATTAGTTGGCAGTTAAATCTTGTCTATTCAACATAATTTAGTAAGACTTAAGACTTCAAGATGACTTTGCAGTTTTTCAACTAAAATTAGATAATTTAAGTCTTTCATATAGAAATGAACAAGAAATTAAATCTTGGGTCCCAGTCAAACTCCTCCACAGAGATATTAACTGACCCACACCTGGCATAGGTCCTTGTTTAATTAAAGTGACTTGTCTGATTTTATTTTAAACTTGAAACCAGCTTTGGGACAGTGTCCCTCCTGTGCACACCCTTCCAGCACCAAATCCATGCAGGTAGTAATCTCATGGAGTCTCTGGGTGATGCAAATGATTAATATACTTGTTGCTAATCGAAACGTTGGAGGTTCGAGTCCACCCAGAGGTGCCTCTAAAGAAAGGCCTGGTGATCTACTTCCAAAAACTCAGCCACTGAAAACCCTCTGGAGCATATTCTACTCTGACACACATGGGGTTGCCATGGGTTGAAATCCACTCCACAGCAACTGGTTAGTCATCTCACAACTGGGTTCTTGTTGCTCTCAGTGTGTTCCATTCCTACACGGCCCTGTGGTTCTGATTTTTAAAGCATTTGGATTCTTTCAAAACAGAATCATTCTTTCATACAGAGACTCAATACACATGAATCTTGTGTGAGGACATGGGCCAAAGGGAGCATTTAATAAGTTTAATCCTCTGTTCTTAAGTCTCTGACTTGACTCAAATTGTGAGTCATTCAGATCAGTGACTGAAAGTATTTCCTAAGCAACCTTAATCTATTGCTGTAGTTTCACTAATACATTTCCAATTTATAGCTTTCTGTAAGATGTAGAATAACCTTTTACAGCTAGGTGGCTTAATTTCTCCCTGGTCCTCTGCTGCAGCCTAGTGTTCTGGATGACTGGTAGAGCCATTGATTGGTAAAGTTGTGTTAATTGAACCTTGAGATTTAGTAAATGATTTATTTTTTCGGGGTCTTAATTACATCTCAGGAAGGCAGTGATTTCATTTCGGTTGCGTACAGCTGCCGTACAATGTGCTGCTGAAGGAACTTTTCAGATTATCTCCTGAGGCTTGGTGTCACCAGGCAATGAAGCTGCAGCACAGAAGGGCTGAACGTTATCATGCGCCTGAGTAATCAGAAACCAAAACCAAATCCATCGTTGTCGAGTCGATTCTGACTCACAGCAACCCTATAGGACAGAGTAGAACTGCCCCACAGGGTTTCCAAGGCTGTAATCTTTATGGAAGCAGACTGCCGTATCCTTGTCCCATAGAGCGGCTGCTGGGTTTGAACTGCTGACCTTTCGGTTAGCAGCCGAGCACTTCGATCAAAGGTTGAATTTTGCTCTCCAAAGGAACCAGAGAAACCAATGAGTGTTAAGCCCGATGTTGCTCTCACAAGCTGTAAATATCCAGTAACGTGCTTGAGCTGAAAATGTGGTCACTGACCTGAGCATCTCACCTCTCCTTTCCATCGACACTCTGTTTTATTCAACAACTCGCATGAGGTGTTTTTCGCAGGCTGAGGTATGATGGTTATTTGCCCGTGACTATTTCAGCTCTTGTATGTCTGCTTATAGGAACTCTGGTTATGCAATGGTTAAGCACTTGGCTGCTAACAGAAAGGCTGGCAGTTTGAATCCAGCCTGTGGCTCCTTGGGAAAAAAGACTTGACCATCTGCTCCCGTAGATCACAACCCTAAAGACCCTAGGGGGCAGTTCTACTCTGCCCTGTAGGGTCACTATGAGTTAGTATCAATTTGACGGCTCCCAACAACATGTCTGCTTATGGTTGGTTGTTACCTGTGGAGAAGAAAGGAGACCAGAACCCTGAATGAGTGTGTTGATGCATTTGAAAACCCCATCTTGAGGTCTTTGGTAGGAAAGGGCACTGTATGTTTTGGAGGGACTGTGTGGTCTGTGATATCTGCGCAGATGTCAAAGCTGTCGCCTGAAAAACCAGCCCCAGATCCCTGTGAGCCACACATCTGTGGTATCCAAGAATGTCTGGAATAGAGGTCTTTTTTTGTGAGGCTAAGGAGCTTCTGGTTTTGCAGACAGATCTTGGTACATTCAGTGTGTTGGTGATTTAGCTCTACATGCACAATGGGACTAAACAGTGCCTTGGATAGGCCTGTCCCAGGGGTGAAGGAAAAAGTAAAAAGAAAAAATGCATGGGTAGTGTAGTGAATTGTGTCCCCCAAAAATATGTGTCTACTTGGCTAGGCCATGATTCCCAGTATTGTGTGATTGTCCACCATTTTGTCATCTGACGTGATTTTCTTATGTATTGTAAATCCTACCTCTGTGATGTTAATGAGGCGGGATTAGAGGCAGTTATGTTAATGAGGCAGGACTCAATCTACAAGATTAGGTTGTATCTTGAGTCAATCGCTTTTGAGATATAAAAGAGAGAAGCGAGCAGAGAGACAGGGTGGTGGGACCTCATGCCAGAAAGAAAGAAGAGCCAGGAGTGGAGCACGTCCTTTGGACCCAGCGTCCGTGGGCTGAGAAGCTCCTACACCAGGGAAAGACTGATGACAAGGATCTTTCTCCAGAGAGAGAAAGCCTTCCCCTGGAGCTGACACGCTGAATTCAGACTTCTAGCCTCCTAGACTATGAGAGAATAAATTTCTTTTTGTTAAAGCCATCCACTTGTGGTATTTCTGCTGTAGCAGCACTAGATAACTAAGACTGTGGTTATCAAAGAACAAAGGGAGTTGGAAGGAAGAGCAAAGAGGTGTGCATGATCAAGTTCTCAAGTGCTGCCAACTGGTCAATCTTAACTCTAACCTCATTCCCCTAGACTCATCCTTCATTCTGCCCCAGCCACAGAACTGCCCTCTCTGCAGCTCCTCAAACATGCCTGGCACAGTTCAACCCCAGGCCCTTTGCATCTACTGTTTCACTGGCATAATATAAGCCTCACTTATTTAGTTGTCTGTCTCCCCTCTTGAGAATGTAAACTCCTTGTGGGCAAGATGTTTTTTTCATTGTTTATTAAGCATCCTGATTGAAATGAATAGAAGTAAGTTCATGCTCTACATCTTGGTCAGTAGTTCCGTGGTAATGGTGAGCCATCTGCATCCCATAATATATACATGGGCTTGGAAGGTAAGATTAGTTAATGCAGTGATTCTGGAACCTGAGCAAGCAGCAGTATCATCTGGAGAACTTGCTAAACTACAGAGAGCTGGGCCTGCCCCCAGAGTTTCTGATTCAGGAGGTCTAAGCCCCTGGGTGCTGCAAATGGCTTGGCTGCTAACCAGAATGTTGGAGGTTCGAGTCTACTCACAGGCACCCTGGAAGAAAGCCTTGGCGATCTACTTCCAAAAAACCAGCCGTTGAAAACTCTATGGAGCGTAGTTCTACTCTGACTCACATGGGGTCGCCAAGAGTTGAAATAGACTCCACAGCAAGTGAGGGGAGTAGACCTGATCACACTTCAAAGTGCTGATCTAAGCCATCCATACCCACATTAGCTGGTACGGGTGCAGACTACCTCTGAACGATAAATGCTTGACTCATGTCAGGACTGTGACCTGTATGCTTTCTTTCCTCAGGGTGAGGAAGAACATGATGAGATGGAGGGCTGCTGGAAAGGCATTCCTGCCCTGCTGGTCATCCTGGCTGTGCTGGCAGGTAGGGATAATGGGAGGTTAGTGGAAAGTTCTTTGGGAAGTGGTGGAAGGGAGCCTAGAGGAGGCCACCAGGGAAGACTGCTGCCCACTGTATCCCTTGTCCATTGTAACCTCTTTGGTGGTGTCCATTTCCTGCTGCCTTGACTCAACTCTGTGAATGGTCCTTCCAGTGCATCTGACCCCCCACCCCTCTTCATCGGACTCTCTCTGTCCTGAGAATCTGCCTTTGGTAACTTTGCACCAGTTATTCCTCTTGTTGAAATACCCCTCCCCCTGCCCACTTCTTCACCATTTTAATTTCTTTTTAAAAATATTTTATTGTATTTTTGGTGAAAGTATACACAGCAAAACAGGTTCCTACCCAGTAATTTCTACACATAATGTTCAGTGACATTGATTACATTCTTTACATTGTGTCAACAATCTCATTATTTCTATTCTAGTTGTTCCATTCTCATTAACTTAGTCTCACCACCCCCTAAACTTCTCATCCATGCTTTAGAGTAACTCTTCACCATTTGGTATCATATGTATAATTTTTAAAAAGAAAACAGTACTCAAGGGAGACATTCTTTAGTTTTTAAGCTAAACTGTTATTTAGTTAAAAGGGGACTGCAGGAGATAATTTTGGTTCAAGAGTATCTTGGGACAATAGTCTTGGGGATTCCTCTAGTCTCAGTGGGTCCAGTAAATCTGGATTCTTTGAGAATTTGGAGTTCTGTTCCAAATTTTCCTCCCTTTTTATCAGGATGCATCTATTGTGACCCTGATCAGAATGTTCGGTAGTTCTTCTGATCTCAAGGTAGAGGAGGTGGTGGTGGTTCATGTAGACCATTAGTCCTATAGTCCGGTTCCTTTGATTCTCAGGTTTCTGTCTTTCTTTTTTGTTCCAAACCAATATAGACCAATAGTTGTATCTTAGATGGCTGCTTGTAAGCTTTTAAGACCCCAGACACTACTCACTAAACTAGGATGCAGAACATAAACTTTATGAACTATATGTCAGTTGACTGAATTGTCTCACGAGTCTATGACCTGAAGTCTTCAAACCAAGATAACTAATCCCGTGAGGCGATTGGTTATGTCTAAGAAGTTTCAGCATTGGTAGCCTCTATTTGTATATATAAGTTGTTGTTGTTGTTAGGTGCCATTGAGTAGGTTCTGACCCATAGCAGCCTTATGTACAACAGAACAAAACACTGCCCGGTCCTGTGCCATCCTCACAGTTGTTGCCATGTTGAGCCCATTGCTGCAGCCACTGTGTCAATCTATCTCGTCGAGGGTCTTCCTCTTTTTTGCTGACCCTCTATCTTACCAAGTACAATGTCCTTCTTCAGGGACTGGTCCCTTCTGATAACATGTCCAAAGTACATGAGACGAAGTCTCACCATCCTCATTTCCAAGGAGCACTCTGGCTGTTCTTCTTCCAAGACAGACTTGTTCATTCTTCTGGTAGTCCATGGTATAGTCAATATACTTTGCCAACACCGTAATTAAAAGGCATCAATTATTCTTTGGTCTTCCTTATTCATTGTCCAGCTTTTGCATGCATATTAGGTGATTGAAAATATCATGGCTTGGGTCAGGCGCACCTTAGTCCTCACAGTGACATCTTTGCTTTTCAACACTTTAATGAGGTCTTTTGCAGCAGAATTATCCAATGAAATATGTTGTTTCGTTTTTTTTTCTTTTATTTAAAAAAATGTTTTCATGTATTTTATTTAAATCAGATTGCTATCTGGAAACATTTAGTGGACAGCTCAAGGTCAAACTGAAATACTTTTAACCTCATATGGTTAAAATAGGTCACTGAGAGTCTGTCCTCCATACCTCCCAATCATTTTTTCCTCTGTGCTTCATTTTAGAGTGTCTATTGCTGTGTCTTCAAATTCACTGACACTTTCATCTTCGATGGCTAATCTGCTATTAATCACATTCAATAAGATTAGCACTTCAAATAATTATTTTCTTCAATTCTACATTTCTATTAGTTTCTTTTTGTTTAAACATTCCATTTCTGTTCTCATTATATTAATATTTCCCTTTGAATCATTAAGCATATTTCTAATAGTTGTTTTAAAGTTCTTATATGCTAATTCCATCATCTGTATAATTCTGGTTCTGTTCCTTTTTTTTTTTTGGTTCTATTTTTTTTTTTTTATTGTGCTTTAGGTGAAACTTTACAGAGCAAATTAGTTTCTTATTCAACAATTTGTACACAAATAGTTTTGTAACATTGGTTGCAATCCCCACCATGTGCAGCTTGCTCCCTTTCCACACCCCAATTCCCCGTTTCTACCCGTCCATTTTTCCTGTCCCTTCCTGACTTCTCATCATTGTTTTTGGGCAGGAGTGGCCCTTTTGGTCTCATATACGTGATTGAACTAAGAAGCATGTTCGTCATGTGTGTTATTGTTTGTTTTATAGACCTGTCTAATCTTTGGCTGAAGGGTGAACTTTGAGGGTGGCTTCAGTTTAGAGTTAAAAGGATGTCCTAAGGCCATAGTCTTAGTTCTTCCAGTCTCTGTCAGACCAGTAAGTCTGGACTTGTTTTTTGGGGTGAATTTGAATCTTGTTCTACATTTTTCTCTGCCCTGTCCCAGACCCTCAATTGTGATTCCTGTCAGAGCAGCTGGTGGTGGTAGCAGGGCACCATCTAGTTCCGGGCTCAGGCTAGTGGAGGCTGTGGTACTTGTGATCCATTAGTCCTATGGACTAATATTTCCCTTGTATCTTTGGTCTGTTTGCTTTCTTGACTGTTGCTTCCATGGGCTTTGATTGTGGATCCAAGTAAAGTGAAATCCTTGACAACTTCAATATTTTCTCTGTTTATCATGATGTTGCTTATCCTTTCAGTTGTGAGGATTTTTGTTTTCTTTATTTTGAGGTGTAATCCATACTGAAGGCTGTAGTCTTTGAGCTTTATCAGTAAGTGCTTGAAGTCCTTTTTGCTTTTACAAGCAAGATTGTGTTATCTGCATATTGAAGTTTGTTAATGAGTCTTCCTCCAATCCTGATGCCGAGTTCTTCTTACAGTCCAACTTCTGGGATTATTTGCTCAGCATACAGTTTGAATAAGCATGGTGAAAGGATACAAACCTGACACACACTTTTTGTGATTTTTAAACCACACAATATCTTTTTGTTCTGTTCAAACTACTGCTCTTGGTCTATGTATCAGTTCCTCATGAACACAATTAGGTGTTGTGGAATTCCTATTCTTCACAATGTTGTCCATAATTTGTGTATATATATATATATACACACACACACGTATAAGTATGTGTATATATATATATATATATATATATATATATATATATATATAGAGAGAGAGAGAGAGAGAGAGAGAGAGAGAGAGAGCCCTGGTGGCAGAGTGGTTATGAGCTATGGTTGCTAACCAAAATGTTGGCTGTTCGAATCCACCAGTGGCTCCTTGGAAACCCTATGGGGCAGTTCTACTCTGTCCTATAGGGTGGCTATGGGTCGGAATCCACTCAACGGCAATGAGTTTGCTTTTTTTGGTATACATACATATGTATATATATGTATAGTTTGTTGTTATTGTGAAATTATATATAATATAGCAGTTGCCAATACATCCTTTTTCTTGTGTACAGTGTAGTGACATCAGTTACATTAGGCAAGCTGTGCATACTTCACCCACATTCAATGCTATCTTTCCCATCACCATAAACAAAAAGCAACTCCTATCTAGAGAATGAGTCCCCCTCTGCCCATCCCTCCCATCCCTGGTAAACACCCGTGAACACTGGTTCTGTATATACACCTTTTCTTGTCATTTCATAAAAGCAAGATCATACAATATTTGTGCTTTTATGACTGACTTATTTCACAAAGCCTAATGTCCTCCAGGTTCATCCATGTTGCAAGATGTTTCAAGAACTCATTTTTCTTTCTGGCTGCATAGTATTCCATTGTATATATGTACCACATTTTGTTTATCCATTCATCCGTTGATGGGCATTTATGTGGTTTCCATCTTTTTACTATTGTGAATAGTGCTGTAGTGAACATAGGCATGCACATGTCTGTATGTCTGTTCGTGTCTCTTCTGTTAGATCCCTAGAGTTCACCTCTTTAATTTCTATCTGGCCTTCAAGATGGAATCACGTCTTCCCCTAAGCCTTCCTGACCCTTGCAGTATTTGTGATGGAAATCCCAGCTAGCATTTATGGAAGGGCAAGGGACTTGCTGGCTGTGTGTGATCCCTGCCATCTCTCACCACAGCTCCCCTTTCTGGACCTCTCTGTAGTGGGGTCTCCCCACCAGACTCAGCTTTGAGGGAATGGGACCACAGGATCCTTAGTGTTATGGACTGAATTTGTACCCCCCAAAAATATATGTTGCAAATCCTAACCCCTACACCTGTGTAAGTAATCCCTTTTGGGAATAGGGTTTTGTTTGTTATGTTAATGAAGCCATATCGTTGTAGGGTGTGTCTTAAACTTAAAGATTTTTGAGATAGAAAAAGGGCAGATTAGGCACAGAAGCAAGCACAAGTGAGGGATGGGGAGGAGCAGAAGGGTGGAGAAGGGTAGGGGGTGGAAAAGGATAGATGCCATGTGGAGATCTCCAAGGAACCGAGTTCACAGAGCCCCCAGAGAGAAAGCCTTCCCCTAGAGCTAGTGCCCTGAATTCAGACTTCTAGCCTCTTGAACTGCGAGGAAATACATTTCTGTTCTTTAAAACCACCCACTTGTGGTATTTCTGTTACAGCAGCACTAGGAGACTAAGATATGAAGAATAACTGGATTTTGTTCCACCAGCTTTGTTTTAACTACGTCTTGTCTAGGTTTCATTGCTTCCGGCGTCCTGTCTTTCCAGCTAGATGATAAAATCATCAGGGGTATTCATTCTGTGTTTTAGGCTTTGTATTAAAGTATATATACATTCAGAAAACTGCATGTGTTGTAAAGCTACAACTTGAATTTCCACAAACTGAAAGTATTCGTGTAATCAATATTGAGATCCAGAGCA